AAAAAATAAAAAAAAAAAAACAAACAAATGAAAAATATAAAATGCAACGAAGGAGTAAAAAGATATTAAAAAATGTTAAAGTCAAATCCAGAATCGGAAAATTATGGGATTCAGTTTCATTGACTGCCCACCACTTCTATAATTCACTTATTTGTTACTGATCCACAAGATTTCATGCACTTCTTCTGATATTTTAGAGTTACAGTTTAATTCACGCAAGAATATTCATTCAGGATAAAAGACGTATAAAAAGCGCCATTCTCTCCGCCATGTAAGTGTAAGGTATTATAATCCTCCAAAGGTCATAATACAATAACTGGCGGATAAACAATGTCCGTTTCCATCACAAAATGCGGATTAAAGAAACATCGCGCTTAATTGACAAGTGTCTAGTATACGATTTGTGAACGTATCACAGCAAAAATAAAAACTCTAAAGATAAATACGTATAAACATGCGTAAAATTTCATATAAAAATTTAATATTTGTTTGCAGTTATTTGACTGGGCGTCAAACGGATATTCTTTTAACACTTCAACCGCCATGCATTTGTCGTGCGTATTTGGAAATTTATTTTTAATTTTTTTTTTCCTTTGTAGGGACTCGTATTGATGTGTAGTATCCGAATGCAAGATCCTTTTCTCCTTGTTTAAGAAATAAAAATTTATCTCCTATAATTTTCGAATCCCGCAGGCTTCTTTAATAATCATTGTCTCATTTTCAAATACAGTGAGTAGTAGACAAGATTTACGAAATAGTTTCTTTAAATAAATAAGTCTCTCCACGTTGCAGAACATTGGCAGATATTATAGTCGGAGAAATTACTGTAAAAAAAAAAACCTCTCTTTTTAGTAAAACTTGATATTCATTCGAATACACACGGCAGTTGAAGTGTTATAACGATATGACAAAAATACGTATTATATTCACTCGTTTTTGCTTTTTTTTTCTTTTTTTTTATAACCACGTTTGTTTTTGAATCTTTTCGGTTATTCAAGTTACTACAAATTGGCATAATCTGAATGCCAGCATAATCCTGTTATTGAGAAAAACGGACATTACTTCTCCCTAGATATATATATAAAAAAAAAGAAAAAAAAAATTGGAAGTGTCATATAGAGTTCAGTCATACATAGGGACGTGGTGTAGAAAAAATGCAGTGCTTGACAGAGTGAGCTTATCATGCTTAAGTCATCTGCTGAGCGTGTCGGATGAGGCCGAGGTACGCCTACGCTGGTAGAGGAATGGATGCTGCCCGGATGAGTTTTCGGCCTTTTTCAAACGCAAAATATCCCAGATGTGGTGCACTATTAGATCTATTGCCACTGCAAACATACAACAACCAGACCATAATACGTTTCCCGTGTGATACTCTCTTAAGCTTTCAATTTAGTTTAGATAGGTGTAGCTCTGACATCCACTACCACGGCATACCAGGCAGCACCCATGAAGTATACAAAAGGTTGAGCAAATACGATTTATAAACAAGTAGAAAATAAAACATTTGTACACCGTCCCGTCAAAACTTGAATACAGATCAGTTAATTATTAATGAGTTGCGTGTAAATAATTAACTGACGTGTGGAGGCGAGTTCTGTATGCGTAATGATTGCACATTCTAGCAATGACACTAGTCACATGTGATTATTGTACAATAATTGTCCACATTTCGGTAAAAGCATCTCAATGTTAAGTGAAAATACACCTCTGTTTGTTACTATTAAAATAATATTCAATTAAAAATTTCAAGCTTTCTTTAAATTGAATCGGATAGGGCGAATCCGACGTTCTGTCACAAAATTTGTATATATTCTACATCTCAAAATTGAGAAAAAAGTTTTAATAAATATAAGTTCCAAAATTATCACTTTTTAAGGTACAATTACTTTTAGTTATAGCGCGAATCATACGCGTGAATTATTCGAAAATGATACACGAAGTAAAATAAATGTGAAGAAATCTTGTCAACAACTTTATCTGACCTTCTGTCACGTATCATGACTTGCTTACCGGTAATATCAGTTTTATCAGATCTCTGCAAGTGAAGCGTTGTTTCTGTACTTTCTCTCTCGATTTTTAATATTCGTTTTTAATATTCATTTATAATATGCATAATAAATAAATTTTTATGTTTAAACATATAAAACAATCACTGATATGACGGCTAACAGTGGAAGTTAGTTGAGAAGTAATACTTCAAATAAAAGTGACTACATTTCAAAAGGTGATAATTTTGGGACTTACGTTAGCTTTGAAATATAAAATGCATCTGCAAATTTCGTAACAGTTCTTCGGACTTATTCTGTATATATTACGTATTATTACTGTTACTGATTACATAGTTTTTAGATACTATAAACTAATTCTTTTAATTATAAATATGTCGATAAGCGTGAAAAAACATGAAACGTATAAAATTCAGATGTCGACAAAAATGTTCATTATAATATTTTTGTAGAAATTCAAAATTTTATAAAATTTTTAATTAAAGTTGAAGTCAAATCTATAATCAAAATTGATATAAGAATAAATCTCGTACTAAATTTTGGTTATTCATATGTGAATTATCGAAAATCTTTCTTAATTTGCTTTTAATTCAAATCATTAATTTCTCGCTGCAGAAACAGGAACTATTATTTTTCATGTTTTATTCTTTGACATCTGTAGTTGAGAAGAGTGAGAATAGTTCTGGGATGCTTTACATCTACGTCCTGAGTATGTTGTGTAACCAGTAATAATAATAATAATAAAATTACATGTTCATTAAAAAGACGTATAAAAAGATAAACATCTCAAGCTAATAAAAAAATATGCAGAAAGGAAACTTGAAATATTAATTTTCTTTTAAATATTACAATATTACAATTAACACAACTGCTTTATAAATAAATGAACGAAATAAAATTATGCCAAATGCATTACAAATTTAACAAAGAATCAAAATATGTGTGTACATACAAAATCAACGATTCTTCAAACATATCTGACAAACAAACTAAACTCGCAGAAAGAAATTAATAGTAAGCTATGAGATATCAAGTAATTATATTAATTGCAGTAAAGAATTACTATCTATGTAATAATACTGTATGTGTTACCTGTATTATCCGCTCCTCTCGGTATTATAACATCCGCAAATTTTTTTGTTGGCAGACAGAACTCTTCGAAGGCTGGCTTCACAAAGTTCATGTATTGATTTAGAACATAATCCAAATCCCTTCCACGTTCCTTTATATCCCTTGGCACTGAAAAAATCGACAAAGTTAAAATGGCATATGTAAAATATTGAATTGTATTACACAGATAATTACCTCTCCTTGCAAGTCTGGTATCGGAGTCGGTGTCCACGAATAATTTCATGTGAAACAAGTCTCGGATCTTGGGGAAGTAGAATACCAGTATTCCTTCGAACAGCACCACATCAGCAGGATATATCGTGGTAACTTGATCTTTCATTCTAAAATAGATTTGCAAATTACTTTTTGATAAGTTTAATTTTTTTAGATCTGAAATATTTTTACATGTGAACATATATTAATTTAGAGCTATTAAAGAAAATTGGAGAATTAGTTGAAATTAATTAAATATTTACAAATACATTTCAATTTAATGGAATTACATTATATTTTTTGTACACGATTATATTGCAATTTGTTTATGTATAATTTTTAATTAGATGTAAAATTAGATGTGAAACTAGTACATACAAACTGTTTGTCCTGTAGTCATAGGCTGGTATTTCACACTTGACACCAGCAAGTATGTCCTGCAGTGTTTGTAAGATTAGATCATCATCAAACGCATCAGGATGATCAAAATTGTACTGTCCCTTCTCAGCTTTCATTTTTTCAGCAGATGTTAAATTGCGATAAAAGCTGTCCTGTGATATGCAAACCACTCGGCGCTGCTGATGATCCATATCGACTTGTCCTAGTTTTTCCATGATACGTTTACATACTGTAGACTGAAATATAATCATAAATTATTAGTAATCAATAGTATATGTAATCAAAATTAATCACAGTTGATTATTGTAGCGCTAATCGTTACAAGTATATTAATCTCTATTTACAAGTATTTGATAAGAATTTATAACGCAAGTTTATGACTCATGAAAGTTAAGATTATTATGAAGTTCTCAGAAGCACTTGCTGATTGTAAAACATCCATTTACATTACTACATGTCAAACTGTCTATATCAAAGTAGTAGTGAATATTAAAATGATATTATTTCTAAAATTAGAAAAACAAGAAACAGTTTTTAATTCTTAAAAAGTTGATTGGTGCAAATTCATATCATTTTCTTGTCAGCTTATTCATTATTATAGATTGTAAATTATTGACATCCAAGATACATACTTTTCCACTTGCAGTGCCGCCGGAGACACCGATCAGGAAGGGTGTCTTGCTTTCGACGCCGTTGAACTTGCCGTTTATACCAAAGGACATCTTTCGCGTGATGCCTACGTTTGATGGTAGATCTGCCATCGTCGAACGCGTGGGCCTGGCTTCGCCGAATCTTCCGACTACCGCGAGTAATCTATACGACTGAAGGAAGAAGTAATGGAAACGTCACTAAAAACGTTTCCACAACTCCTCGACAATGCCGACACGAGATTTCGAGTGAATTTACCGTCTATTTCCGGGCTACAGATATTCGCCGATATGCAAATGGTGTAAACTCAGCTAACACAGACTGACGCAGTAGCCTACAATAGCCGGGCCACGTGTGTTGCACACCTACATGGACAAAGTTGCGAAATATTCCCGTTCGATGAGTTTTAGAACGCACCGAAGTCGCACAAAATCGCGCGATTTTGGTGAATTTCAAAATTCATTAAACAAAAAATGTCACCCTTCCGAGTGTACGGCGTATTTAAATGGACGCTGCGGGTAAGAACAGCAATTAATTTTTATCTTTTAGAATTTGCTAGTTTTTGGTATTATCGTTTTCTAAAAAATATGCACTTTTTATATTTAATTTCATTTTTTATGCATTTACTTTAAAACTTTATTGTGGAATATTATGCAGGTAGGAGGAGGCTCTTAATATGAGGAAATATCTATTCTATAAATATATGATTTTTTTACATTATTTTACATATAAACTAACCAATAATTTAGCAGATATTTTATATCTCCACACGAAATAAAATAAATCACTAAAACTGCAATCTTTTCTCTTTCAACTCTCATTTTCTGTGTTACTTATATTCTTTTTATTAATAAAACTTATTGATAAATACCGTTTGAATTGATTAAAAAAAATTTATAAATAAGAAACTTCGACTTATAGATATGGAGAAGTTTCAATATTGCACTTTTTATTTTAACTAATTTTATTTCTTGTAAAAAAATATGTATTTTTATCACTCTTTTTTTTATTACTCAGTTTTGTGCTCATTTTGTAAATTGCTAACCTCTAACAATTTTTTATAACGCTCTACCAAGTCGCTGATGGATCGTCTCTTTGAAATATTTTGGTGCTCTAATACCACGCCCTTGTTCACGTCATTCGTCAAACATACTTCCGTAAATTCATCCAGCTCGAACTTGTTTACTTTCAACTCACATTCGACCTTATCTCTCTCTTCTTCTTCTTCTTGCTGAGATGCGTTTTGCGAGATGTTCTGTTTTATTGGACTAAACTGTTCAGATGTGCAAGTAGTGAGACTCAAATTGAAAAATCTCCTCTCTGTGATGTTGAATTCCGACATCTTCTTTATTGTATTCGTAAAGGCGGAAGAATTGGCTTGTGCGGTAGTCGGTAGAGATAACATACTTGAGCTGGCTGCACAAGCATAATTCCAATTTCATTTATTTAATTTAAACTATTAGAAAAGTTTGAGTAAGAATATATCCAAGCGGAATTGCTACAAACCTTTTATGTTTTTATTCATGAATGTGGAGAATAATCGAGAGTACTTTTCTGTTGGTTTTTTGACCGACAATCGATTCATTTTCGGAGTCGTGAAACACCTATTCAAGCCTTGTTTTTCGTTAATGTCGAGCAGTACAGTATTGTCAATGTTGATACGCGACACAAATAAATTCGTTCTTAAGTCTGGCACATGACTCTGAGTGTGCCGAGCGTATCTTGAAAATAACGATTTGTGTGCAACTGTAAAGAACAAATGACTTGAGAACAACAAATTGCACGCATAATTATATCTTTCTTAAATTTTGTACTTACTTTCCGGGGTGATTTGTAATAATTTGAGTGAATCATTCTTTGCGTCTGCGTAACTGGTATTGATTTTGATGGGAGGTGATGGCATGAAAAGCACACCTTTTACAAAGGGTAACACATCTTCTTTGGACATCTGCTCCACATTTTTGTCATACAAGACACTTTGTGTCTTTTTTGTGGAATTTATTATGTTTGTCAAAAACATTTGGAACACATCGTACATAGACTTCATGTCCTTCACACTCGCTTCCACTTGCAAGAGACACTGTGACAAGTCCTTCAAGCCAATCTTTTTCAGGCGCTGATACACTTGATATAATATTAATGTGAGTAAGAGAATGAAATTGCAAAATACCAATTTATTATCATTATACAAATGATAAAGACAATGCTGAAATATAGAATTTACATTAATGTTACATTATATTAGTGTCAGATGCATATTTACAATATTATTTCTATAAGTTGTTGGTTCACTCAATTTTACCTCAACATCAGGTGGAAATAACATGTCTGAGATCCGAGAACAATTGACCCCTTCAAGCTGCTTTCCATTTAATGCTTTAATATCACTCAACAGATTTGATATTATGTCATTTACATTTTCACATGCTTTTTCCAGATTCTTCAAAAGTACATTCCGTTTTTCTATGTAACATACATTTTCGTCTATGCTATTTTTCCACACTAAAATCCACAGAATATTTTTATCAGTTTTGCATAATATAATGAATCTAGCTAAAAAAAAGTACATGATAAAATTAAATACAAACTTTGTATGATCTCTGAATCTTCAAGGCTTATCAAACGTTGTTTCAAAGAGGAAGCAACAGGTGCTTCAGCTGCACATTTCTCAATAGAATGTTTCCTGTTAAACAGTTCTGCTTTGATTTTAGCCATTTGTTCCTTCTGTTCTCTAAAGTAAAAAAAAAAACTTAATAGTAAAATGTTTTTAAAAAACATATACTTATAAAAAATAAACAAAAGAAAACATTACTCCAATGCAAAGTTCACAGCTTTTTCCATTTGTATGCAATTTCTATGACGACTCATTATATTATCGGCAATATTTGCCTTAGCCTGCTCTAAGTAAATTCTACTTAAGTCATTTGCAAAACCTGGTTTTGGTAGAGAAATAACTTCGTATTTACCTAAAACAATGAGTAGCAATTAGTAATTAATTATATTGATATAAATATATTCTACATTTTACATTCAAGTTAACTAAAACTATCCATACAGATATGAGGAATTAGTACAAATAAAATCCATACATTTCTAATAAAAAAGTACCTACTATTCTTCATAATGTATCTCTTCAGTACAAGTTGAGACAATTTCCACATTATAATTATAAACTTCGGACCACTTGCATGATGGAAATAACTGACAAGTATATTTGGAAATCCCATGTTAGGATTCTCTGTTGCAATGAGAGTCAGATAGTCTTTAACATCGTTACGATATTTTGCTTCCATTTTCTTGCATATTATTGGCCACTCAATTAGTTTTTTAAAACGTTCAGCATCATATACTGTTAACAGGTAATGGGAAACTTCTATAAACCCTGCCATATTCGGTTTATCAAACATCCCCTACAAAACATGTAATATATTATCAGTTATTGTTAGAAATAACAAAAAGATGATATAAACAAAAACTATGTATAAAAATAGATTTACAAAATAGAAAAAAAGTACAATGCACCTCACGAAACACTTTCTTGAAATCATTACTTGGGGGGACCAATTGATTTAATAAGAAGACATTTCGGTGAAAGGACGCGCTAACAGCCTCCATTCTATAACATACGTATACACTACGAGCGAGAAAACTGGTTTAATAATTAGTAATCAAACAATTTATAATGTATAAACACAACATGCATAACACAGCTGACCATTCGAACCGATAAAAAACATCGACCAAAAAAAAACGGTTCTATAAGCAGCCAAATATTTGAATTTTTAAAGCTGTGGTTATTTCGCTTGAGATGGGAAATCTCACAAACAAATTGCTTCCAGTTAAGGTACATTCAGAATAACTTGCATAATGCACATACATTAGGAAATCGACCAATCACATATTTATAAATATTTATTAGACGCGTAATTGGTCAATTTTTTATGCATCTGCATTTACAATTTACACTCATAAGCAAAGAATCGCAATATTTTTTTGATTAATTTAGGTACAAAGCCGTATTTTTATTAACCTTATTAAACAAAGTGTTGCAAACTTTTTTTTAATTAAGTTTACATAGGTTGTTTTCCAGCAAAGGACACTAGTTGACACAAATCGAGACAAGTATCACTCTGTTTTTGTTCGATATTCAGTGAGCAACAGAAAGAATAATACTTTTGTGTCGCTTGTGTCTCTTGGTGGAAAACTACCATAATAATACTTCTGCATAAAAATCCACATTTAAGACATTGCTGCCAACAGAAATTTAATTTATTCTCTAATATAATCTAATATAACCTTATCTAACTTAATCTGACCTAATCTTAGAATATATATATTCGAAGAGCGATGTTATAGAATTGTGTTCAAGATATGTGTGACAAGGATAAATACCTTAATATCTTTTAGATATTTTTACATAAAATTATTTATATGTTACACAGCAGGGAGTAAACAAGAGTGGAACAGTTAGGGACATTCAAACTTGTACAAATACATCATTTTATGTTTACACATACGAAAATCGACCAATCATATATTTAATATAGTATCCTTATTGAGGTTGATTGAAGCCTAACAGCGTCTGCTACAATTTGCTTTTACGCATGTGCGGAATTTGTCCTCTGTTCCACAATGCTAGATCTGTTCTTTGTATCGACAGTAGACTACACTTTTGCGCACAAAGTGAGATAAGCATATAAATATGCGTCGGAGGGAAAAAGAGGAGAGATGGAAAAATTGAGAAAAAGTACAGGAGATGCAGTTGCAAAGAGAGACCTAAATGCCTTTAGCACACTCTGGTACTCATTGCACGCATGATGATTCGTAGAAATAATATTCATTAGATTTGTTGCATTAATTACGCAAATGAGAAGTTCCTCGTTGAAAAATTAATAATCTCATTATCTATATTTTGCTCGGGTATTTCAGTGATGTAAAGAAATTATGGAAACGTACGAGAATCAAGCGCAAGAAAAACTGCAGGATGGAGGTAAAAACTTTAATAATTCTTCACTCGTTTTACATATGCAGCATGTTCAAATATATAAAATTGGTTTCGATCATGTTGGAATTGTATATAATTATAAAATCATTACACGTGTTTCTTACATGGTTGATTTAACCGTTATTGTTTTTAGAAAAAGGTAGATATAGATATAGATAACGCGTGATTAAACGCAATCGTTCATTTTCACGTGTAACTTTAAAGAAATAAATATGAACTTGATACATTAGAAAATTTACTTGTTAGAATAATTCATCATTAAAAAGTACTTGTTTCATTGATTTTGTGTATTAGATTCTCTATAAATTTCTGAAAATATATATTTATATAATTTTCTGTTCTTTATTGATAATTTAGAAAATGGCGTCTGTATAAAAATATCTAATAATATTTAATAAATTAAATATTTTTATTTATAACAACTAATCATTTTTAATATAAAGTGTAATAAATATTAACATAATAATGCAATACACATTTTAATATAACAATTCAACAAAATTAATTTAATGCGTGTGTAATAAATATTATATAAATATAAATTAAATTAAATTAAAGTTTTTGTTTAAAATTTTAAAAGATATTAAAAACTTTTTATAAAAATATTTATTTTATTTAAAAAATTTTATATTTATTATTTTATACTTTTTTGCTATTGTTATTTAACAAATAAGTCTTTTGTAGATCTTTTGTTTGTAATATATGTATATTGATTGAATAATATAAATTTCTAATGTTTTTCAATGTTGTATTTCCAATAAAGTACTGTATATCAAAATAACTGAAAATCATAATTTGCTCTTAAATAAAAATTAATGGAAAAATATTTATATTCCATTAAATATTATATATTTTAGACTTTCAGAGCGGATTTGTTTGGCAAGACTATCTTGATGCCACGAGTAGCGTGGAAGTTCCACAAATTATGTTTCCCCATGTGGAGCAGACATTGCAAAATAGTATTGAAATAGGCATGTCATTAGAAGTTCCAGTTCAGGAAAATAATGATGAAGAGGAATCATCATATTGGGTAGCTTGTATTGTCATGGCTTGTGGTCCTTTATTACGGTTGCGTTACTTTGGTGGTGATGATAGGTCATTAGAATTTTGGTTCAATCTCACGAAAGAAGCTGGTCATGAACTTGGTTGGTGTGTGAAAAATAGTAAAAAATTAGAACCACCTAATGTTATACTTGAAAGATCACCAGATTGCATAGACAAACTGCATGAATTTCTGACAACAGCACATTCGCTGCCAGCAGAGATGCTGAAAGGGGTATGATTTTTTTTTCAAGATTCCATATAATAATTAAGAATTTAACACAATGGTCTAACTTTTCTTATTAACAGGATGGCTTAAGTATGACAGATAGGATTAAGCAGAACATGAAGGTTGAGATAAGCGATGTGTTGCATCCGTATAAATTATGGGTGGCTACGGTATGAAAACAATTGTACAATTAAAAAAACTTGAAAATTTTATATATTATAAAGTATAATATAAGAAGAAATAGTAAAGGGTTTATTTTTTTTTACTTTGTATTCTAGTACTTAAAAATGTTTAAATTTGATTGCACTAATGCCATTTAAATCTTTTTCAGATTGTAGAAAATGTTGGAGGACGTCTCTTGTTGAGATACGACACACCAGGCTCTTTTCGTGAAAATTTCTGGATATTTTGTACCTCCGAGCGTTTACATTCGTATGGATTTGCAAATTCTAAGTCAAATTCTACTTGGTTCTTAGAACCACCTAGTTCAATTATTGATTTGCACACGTATGAGGAATGGAAGGATTTATTAGAATCCAAATCAAAAGACTGTCAGCTACCGGAGGAATTATTTAATAATAATGGAGAACATCCAAAGCACGGTTTCGAAATTGGGATGAAGGTGGAAGCTTTGAATCCGGTGGATCGAACAAAAATCCATCCTGCTACAGTAACAAAAGTATTTGACGATGCATATTTTCTTGTGAACATTGATGCGTATACTCAGCAGTCGACTGGATCAGATTGTACACCTATATCTAATAATACAGAAAAGAATACATGGCTGTGTACTGCGGAACATCCATATATATTTCCAGTTGGATGGGCGCAGAAACAAAATATTGTGTAAGTTTGTGCAAAATAATCGATCATGTCAATCTTTAAATAATTAATGGTATTATTAGTTTGCAGATTACTGTTACAGTTTTAATTTTAAAGATATATTTACAGAGATTATACCTTTTAATATAATTCTTTGATTTTAATACATTTTCTGTTAAACTCTTGAGTGCTGCATAATTTGTTTATTATATTATGGTGTAAATATATACAAAACATATAAATATGCTGTTTTTTTTTTTTTATTTAGGATTACTCATCCACAAGGTTGGACTTCAAAGACTGGAGACTTTAGCTGGAATGAGTATTTAGAGACATTCGCTGCTAAAACAGCACCTGAAGACTTATTCAGTGAACGTGCGAGCGCCGCTGAAGCGGGCTTCGAATGTGGCATGAGATTGGAGGCTGTTGATCCAGAACATAAGCATGTAATATGCGCCGCTCGAATTACGAAAATGATTGACAATCTGTTATGGATAAAATTAGACAATTATGAGTATTGTCGACCAGATCATATAGTCGACATGCATTCTTTGCAAATATTTCCTGTCGGATGGTGCGAATCCAATCATTATCCGTTAAAACCTCCGTACGATTACATCGAGATTTGCAAAAAGTTGGAAATGTCTGAGAAAGAAGAGAAGAAAACCAATGTTCTGGACATACCGATATCTGAACCACGATCTTCACTCTGGTGTCCGAAGATATATTTTAATTATCGATGCTTTACGGGCCCAATGATCTCAAAGGGTAAATTGGCGACTCTGCCAAAGTCAGTAGGACCAGGACCAGTTATATTGGTCATGCGAGAAGTTTTATCAATGATAGTATCCGTCGGATACAGAAGCGCTAGAATTTTGAAGGTTTTGCAATGTGATACCAAACCGGATCCTGGATTTCATCTGGAAGTTTTAAAAGCTAAACACAAAAACAACACATATCGCGCGAGTGTGGCCATTGTTACGTCAGGAGACATGGTGGCAGATTTTTGCAGGAGTATTTGTAAGAAGCTGATGGTTTGCCCGAATTTATTCGGCCCGTTGCACGTGTCGGAAAGCGAGTGTCCGGACGAATGTTATAAAACATCAAAAACGAAATACAGTAAGTAATAGAATGGGCATTACGTCTGTAAAGTTATCGCATTTACATTGATCTCAATTAGAATGTAAAATTCATATTTTTGATGACATTCTTCTATTTTCAGTAGCATCAGTCGGAACTGGAAAGAGAGGAAAGCCGAAGGGCTATACGAGTATCATGGTGCAAAAAACCAAACCTTGGGGTAGAAGGCGTAGAAGGAGGCGTGGTAGATGGGCAAATAAACATAAAGTTATAGTTCACGAAGAATACGATCAGGAAGATGAAATGCCGTTCATGTCGTTAGATCTCGTGAAGCATGTCGCGGAGAATAATGTCGACCACGCGTTTGACGGCAGGCAACCGCTCTCAGAGATAGATATCATGATACAGAAAGGATTAGAGAAATCCGACAAGTCAGATGATTTCAAGACTGAAGTGCCCTCCAGTAACATCTCAGAAGATTCTGGTAGTTCGTTCAACGATAGAAAAATGAAAGACAGAGAAATGTGTAGCTCCCCAAGTTTGAATTCTAAGCAACATTCCACGAGATTTGGAAGCCAGAGCGGGAGAGGAGCTAAAAGAGATTGGGACACGAGCATAGAATCTGACGGCTCCGACATGGATGCCGAATATGTGAAAATACAAAAGACTCAACGGCGACCGAAGACACGGAAGCTGGATTCGAATCCGTTATATTGGAGCGTGGACGATGTGTTTCGGTATCTGAGAAAAACAAACGACTGCAAGGATCTCGCCTACCGTGTCAAGGAAGAGGTGAGTACATGTGTAAAATTAATAAGGATTAACATTTTAATTGTAATATCACTTGTATTGATATTTTATTCAGGAAATCGATGGCCTCGCCTTTCTGCTGTTGAATTTGCCCTCTCTTACTCAACATATGAAACTGCGAACGAGTTTAGCTATGAAGCTATGTCGACACGTAGAGCAGGTTAAAGTTACATTTTTTCTGCGACATATTCACGAGGTAGAGCCTGAGCAATATCACTTTGTTTAGTTTGCAATATCCTTTACTTATAATAATATATTATATAAATATATATATATTCTACATTTCTTGCCACTAATTTACTACTATTTTAACTATACTCATTTAGCTGAAAGATAAATAGATCAGATGTGCAATTCTGAAACTGATCTTTTCTTAAGTTGAAAAGCTAGCAAAATAATGATTGCAAATTTCTTATCAATCTGTATATAACATTATATAAAATAAATTTATTTGTTTCAACATAAGGAGAAATCTTAAAAAGTGCGCAGTGAAAGAATTCTTAGTTTACATACATCATACAACTCCCATAAAATTTCTAAATAATTTCTTTTGCGTTATTATTTTACTTTCAATGATAAATATACCGATGTTCTATTCAACGATTGATACTTTATTAATTATACAATTCTCAGATTATTACTCTCAAATCTGGATTTTTTTACATTTATAATACTTAGAACAATTATCTTATATTTTATTTAAAAAAAATTGGATAATTATTTTTAGATGATAACGTAGTGCTCTTCAATTATTGTCGATTCCTACTTTTTCCCCGTTGGTATTGTCGGAAACGGGTTTTTTTCTTCGACAATAGATCGCGTTACCGGTGACATACTCGGTCTCCTTTCATCTAATCTTTCTTGATTCGGTGAAATACGCAAGAACACCGCAGCAAAACGACGCGCTAGCGCCAAGCACACCCACATATACGTATACACACGCATACATTGGATGCAACATACACGCACAAACCACGCACATAGTACGGTACCGTACGGCGAGTTACGTATCCAAGTCAGTGGTTTCCGTGTGGTTTTTCGATAATGCCTTGGTGATAACGAAGACCCTCTCGATTCTGTGATTCGGTCATCGAACGCCTGTGATCGGTAAGTCCGGCCGTTTCTGTTCAAACGCGTCCCGCCACGATCGTTACCGCGAAAAACGACGAGAGACGACGACAGGCGTGGACGGGCGACCGACGGCCACCGACTCGGGCGATCAATGCGATCTCGCGGGTGTGCCCGCTTCTCGCCTTGCCTCTCCGTCACGTTTTTCGCCGTCCGTTTGTCGCGCCATCGAAAGATTCAGCATTTTCGTGCGACGGAACGACGCGCCTGTTATTGCAGGACGCGTGCGAGTCATTCTCGTCGTCGTCAACGGGCGGAACGCCCCGCGGAATCCCGGCGGCTGCGAAGGACGCAACGGGTGAGATCATCGATGACAATCGGTTGTCGGTGAGACTGAATTTAAATACCGTGGTGACGGACGATCGAATTTTACACTCATCCGGCGACGCTAAAGTCGATTGGACCGGTCGAGCCGATCGGTATTGATAGAACGACTTGTTGATGCGTGTGTATGTGTGAAATAATATCGTCTATTGGCGTTCTCGTTTCTATCGGCGCGGTGCACGCCCATTTTTCGCGTTTCCGTTAGCAACCGCAGTCTCATAACATTTCGGCGAATTTGAAAATTTTCGAATAATTGGGTCAACTTCGATTTTGTGGGGGATTACGCCGAGTTGCGCGGAAGCGCACGCGCGTGTTCTATATATGTGTTCAATTTTCTGTGTTTACCGCAAAAGTGCACGGGGTATATGACCGAGCAGTGATTTAATGATTAACCAAAGAGATGAGAGAATACTTTCGCGTTTACCGGATGTTAAATTGATAGATATCGCAGAATATATATTCGCAAAACGTTTATAACCATTGATGTAAACAAAGTGAAGAGATTTTGGAGAATTTTGCATCGATTATTATAGGCAATTTAATTGTATATATTAATAAATCTTTTTAAAATTATTTTTCACGGCAAAAATTGTTGTTTTAGCTTGCTAAAGATACAAAATAACGATGAGGTTCACCGTGTGTGTTATTCCCATACTGATACTTGGGGCATCAGCAATAAGTGAGTACAACTGAATTGTTCAATTGCTAGATTATAATTTTTTAAATAATCATACAATATTTATTAAGCAGTAAAATTTTGTCTATTAAAATTGATGTTTAATGTTTAATTATAGTATCCATCCCGGATTTTTTAGGAGGTGAAACACATTTAAAAAATGTTATAAGTAACTCTTCTGTTTGTAATTTTCATTCACACCATTTAACTATTTCTGTGCAAAACAAATTGTTTACACAAGGATGTCATGCTTTCCTATACACACATGGCAGTGTACATAAACATATATACTTGTGCGCATTTGTACACTCATGAAATCATGTTTGTGTATAGATTTCTAAAAACAAAGAAATGTTTTGAAATATTTTACAAATCGTATTCCTGTGTGGTTTTTTATCGTTACATTACATACAGTTTGCATAATTCCTGCAAACAGTAGAATCATCTCTGTTAGATCCCTTCATTCTTAATAAGTGTATACTTGTACACGTTCTGCGAAAAGCATAGATTTTTCATATTGTATTTGTTTTCAAGCTCTCTATATTTTCTTAATGTAATTACATCATACAATTTATGTGTAAACCATAGTTGTCTACAACTTAGCCTACACACAATAACTAAATTGAAATTAAAAATCACCAAGATCATTTACTGTAATGAATCATTACGCTAAATGTGCTTCCTGCGTTTTTCCTGTTTCTAGATCACGTATATGTCTCCTTTATTAGTTTATTCCCATCTGAGTTGTGCAATTGCCCTAATACATTTTTTTCTACATTAGTTCAATCACCGCCACGGATATCTAAGCAGCCACCATCAGACGAACTGCTGTTTCAAGTGGTTCAAGCAAAGGACAACGAGAATGACAGACCGTTTTTAATCGAATGCGAAGCAGAAGGAGAGCCAGCTCCGACGTATGTACTTTTTCTAATTTTTTTCTCCTTATTTGTTGCGTACGAAACAAGAGATATTGCGTATCTCTGCCACACTTGTTCAAACGCAGCCTTCCGACGCTATTATTAAACGTTGCCTACGTGCTTTTAAAGGAAATAGCTATTATGTAAATATGTCCTCGCACTCATTAACTTGCTCAAGAACGGAAAATGTACTTTCGAGGTATTCCGCTCGCGAAATTTTAGTGCACTTATATCGGGCTTATTCATCTCTGGACGGTGCAGAGAGGTCGATGCAACCGGTGGGTCTTAATTACAAGGATGACATCATAGCTTGGGGATGTATGAAATAATCATCACTAATACAGAAGTCCGGCTTGCGGGAATGTGATGTGCACCGATGTGGGCGGGGTTTTTTCAAATGTCAAATAAACACGCGAAGACGAATTAGAAGAGAATTAAAACGTTAAATTTATCGTTGCATCATGCGCAATTTTTCCGTCACGATATTTGATGTACAAACATTGAATTTTTTTTTATAACTAAAAACATGGCGTCAGAAGATTCTGATTTACGTATTTATGTCGTTTAGATATCATTGGATTAAAAATGGGAAAAAGTTTGAGTGGGCGACGTACGACGATCGTATCGCCCAACAGCCGGGCAGAGGTACCCTCGTGATTTCCAAGCCGAAAGAGGAGGATTTAGGACAGTACCAATGTTTTGCGAAGAATGAATGGGGAACGGCTACGTCGAACTCCGTGTTCGTGCGAAAGGCCGAATTGAACTCGTTCAAGGATGAGAACCCGAAGACCGAGTACGCGGACGAGGGCCAGCCCTACACGCTCACCTGTCATCCGCCCGACGGCTGGCCCAAGCCGAACGTCTACTGGCTCATTCAGGATCAGGCCGGTAGCATCAAGTCGATCAACAACTCGAGGATGACCGTGGACCCGGAGGGCAATCTCCACTTCAGCAATGTGACGATGAACGACGCTTCGGAGAACTCTTACTACGCCTGTGCCGCCACATCTGTGTTCAGAAACGAATACAAATTGGGCAATAGGGTCGTGCTGGTCGTAAAACCGGCGGGCGCGTCCACCGGCCAGAACAAGCACGCCCCCAAGAGACAATACGTTACCAAGAAGAGCGAGGTCGCCTACCGGGGCCAGAAGGTCGAGCTGTACTGCATCTACGGCGGCACACCGCTGCCGCAAACCATATGGAGCAAAAACGGCCATCTGATCACTCCGTTCGACAGGGTAACTCAAGGGAACTACGGCAAATCTCTCGTCATACAGCACGTCAATTTCGAGGACGAAGGCGCGTACACCTGTGAGGCGTCGAACGGCGTCGGCTCGGCCGACTCGTACAGCATACATCTGCAAGTGCTGGCCGTGCCATACTTCACCGTCGAGCCAGTCTTCACGGAGGCCGCCGAGGACGAGACCATCGAGATCAATTGCGAAGCTACGGGCGTGCCACTTCCTGAAATCAAGTGGATCCACAATGGCAAACCGATTTCTCAGGCGCCGCCGAACAGCAGGAGGAAAGTCACGCCGAACAAGATTATAATCGAGAAGCTGACGAAGAACGACACCGGCAATTACGGGTGCAACGCCACCAACTCGCTGGGATACGTTTACAAGGACGTGTTCGTCAACGTGCTAGCACTCGCTCCGGAATTCACGCAACCGCCCACGAATCTGAACACGGTCGACGGCAAGACGATTCGAATAACGTGCCAGGTTTTCGGCGCGCCCAAGCCGGACGTCAAGTGGATTCGCAGCGGCCAAGAGCTGACCGGTGGTCGTTATAAGATTCTGCAGTCGGGCGATCTCGAGATCCAGAACGTGATATTTTTGGACGAGGGTATATACACGTGTCACGCGTCCAACAAGTTCGGCGAGATCGAGGCGTCCGCCGAATTAGTGGTGAAGGAACACACCAGGATAACGGACGAGCCGGAGGATTACGAAGTCGCAGCGGGCGCCACCGCCACGTTCAGGTAAAGTTTCGTGAAAACGGAAATTGAATGCTCGACGAAAGCGAAACTTAAATATATAAATGTCGAATCAGCTGTTGAGAATCTCGTTTGATATTTTCTTCACGTTCGTTTCAGGTGCAACGCCGTCACTGATCCTGGTTTAGAGTTGACCATAGAATGGCTGAGCAACGGCCAACCGATAGACTTCGAGATGGAGCCGAGATTCGTGCGGAGCTCAGACTACTCGCTTCTGATCACGAAGACGACCGAACTGGACTCCGGTACTTACACGTGTGTCGCGAGCACCGATCTTGATAGCGTGACCGCGCGAGCGACGCTGATCGTTCAGGATGTGCCTAACGCACCGATATTGGAAAACGTCGAGTGCAACACCACCGAAGCCAAGGTTATATGGAGGCCCCAGGGAGACAATAGAGCCCCAATTCTGCGCTACACTATCCAGTACAACACCACGTTCACGCCGGACGTTTGGGAGATAGCCAGAGACAACGTTCCGGCTATCGATCAAGTGTACATAGTGCCCATGTCACCTTGGGCTAACTACACGTTCCGTGTCATCGCGTGGAATAAGATAGGTAAGATTTGTCGTCCGCGGAACAAATTGCAATATAATTCAATGGCATTAGTTGCAATTTTGCTTTCGTGCTTTTCGATTTTTGTTATGATTATACGCGCTCTTGGAATGAAATGGGCAAAACTTGCCATTCATAGAAATTATAAGTGCTGCGATAATATAATTCAGTGCACGAAATTTGTTGCAGTTAATCACTTTTCAGTTGATTTTTTATCATTTTGCATTCTTTTCAGATTGGTAGATTTAAAGTGTTATAAATTCATGCACTTTGATATCACTGTAACAGGTCCATCTCTACCATCGTCGCACAACAAGGAGAAAGCTTGCACCACCTTACCGGACGTGCCGTACAAAAATCCGGACAACGTCATCGGCAAGGGCACCACGCCTCAAAACTTAGTCATTTCTTGGACAACTATGCCGCAGATAGAACACAATGGGCCCGGGTTTAGGTACGAGATAGAGTATAAGAGGGATATACCGGGCCAGGATTACACTGACAAATTTACTATAATCGATTGGAGAAAGAACAGTCTGCAGGTGGACAATCTGCCTACTTATCAGAAATATAAAATTAAGGTCACCGCGATAAACGATAAAGGACAGAGTAGAGTTCCGGTTAAGGAGGTTCTCGGATACTCCGGAGAAGACGGTAAATTCATTGACAAAATTACTATTATTAACGATCGCGTTTGCTAATCGGTTTATCAATTTGAACGTAAAATCGTTGTTTCAGTGCCCTTACAAGCGCCCGGTAACTTCACATTGAATCACATAATTTCGGGTACGACTGCTGAGTTGTCCTGGAGCCCGGTGTCGCAGGAGTCGGTGAGGGGTCAGCTGCAGGGATACAAAATTCAGACGTGGACGGACAAGGAGGGCGAGAAGGGGGGGATACGCGAGATCAACATCCTCGGAAATCAGACGCACGCCACAGTCACCAAGTTCATACCGAACAGCAAAAACTTCGCGAGGATAATGGCTTTCAACGGCAGGTAAGGAGATCCGCACCGCTCGTATTCCGCTTTTCGTGGCTGCTCTGTTTTCACGTAACGTTTCGCTCGCTACAGATACGTCGGTCCCATGTCCGAGACTTTGAATTTTGACATGCCGGAAGGCGTGCCGGGGACAGTGCTCAGCTTCGAGGTGTTCCCCATAGGATCCAGCGCTTTGTACCTCGTGTGGACGCCGCCCGCGGAGCCGAACGGTGTTCTAACTGGATACAATGTTTACTATCAGACTGTGAACAACACGCAGCTGGGAACGATGCTCGAGAGGAGGCCGCACATCATAGATCCAAAAGCCACGCAGGCCAAATTAGCCGAATTAGCGCCCGACACGAAATACCGCGTTCACATAGCTGCCAAGACTAGGGTGGGCGAGGGCAACCAGTAAGTGCGTCATAATGACACGAGTCACAAGAACAAAATTACTTCCTTTGAGAAAGCAATCGTTGTGTAAAACAGCAAATATTATTTTCAATTACTTTATTCACAGTTTTCTGATATATTTGCAGTTACTTCGTTGAACAGAAGACACGACAGTCTCAGCGACCTGACGTCCCACAATTTACATGGGAAACTGTGCCGACTGAGAATGGATATGCCAATGTGAGAATCACTTGGCTGCCGAACTTGAACGGCATTCCGGGAAGTCATTTCTTCGTTAAGTACAAGCTCAAAGGCGAAACGATATTTTTACAAACTTCCAACGAGTATCAATCAGATGATATTGAGGTATGCATAATAATAATAACAATAATATCGTAGAAAAAAGCAATCTTTATGAAATTGAAAATTACTCATTTAAATCATGTTAAATTGAACATTATATAAACAGCATGCTGATTAATATTGTATTTATATTTCGCATAAAGTGTAAAATTGTATTCTGAATGAAAAATCACTCAATCCTGCAGATTCGCGGTCTGCAAAGCGGTGAAGTCTACATAATGTCGGTTGTCGCTGTCGATGGAATCTACCTTAGAGAGAGCGATTTTCAGGAAGTCGAGACGAGCAGCGAAGGGCCCATTATTCAGCCAAAAGAAAACGTCGCGACAGCTGGCTGGTTCATAGGTAATTTTCCTTCTCTCAGCTGAATTTTGGCGATTAGTGCAGCGTTAAGTGACACTGACGTTCCTTGCAGGAATGATGCTGGCGATCGCCTTCCTCCTCTTAGTACTGATAATAGTTTGCGTGATTAAACGAAATCGTGGCGGAAAGTACGCGGTGCATGAGCGGGAATTGGCCGCCGGACGCGGCGATTATCCCGACGAGGGTGGATTCCACGAGTATTCGCAACCGTTGGACACCAAGTCAGCCGGCGGACGCGCCTCCGTGGCGTCGTCCTCTCACCAGGACGGCAAACATCCCGAGTCCGACACCGATTCCATGGCGGAGTACGGTGATGGTGACACAGGTTAGTAATAGATTTAGGAATTGGATCTATAGAATTACATACAGTTCGCAGAAGAATTAAAAATCTCAGGAAAGTTCTTCGGATCAAAATAGTGCATAATTAAAAACACTTGCTACACGAGTTAGTTTTTTTTTTTTTCGATATCACTATCAATTTTGTTGTGTATTATTACAAGATAAGATAAGCTCGGGTACGTATTATTGATTATTTTTGCAATACAAACAAATGCACTAAATGTTTCATACAGGGGTTTTTTCATACTTTTATACAGAAAGCATGTGACGAATTTCACATTTTGCGTGAACATAACCGACGATCATAGTCACGTTAGCTGAAACTTTTCTTGTACCTTACGGTCGCTCTTTATTTTGTATGCACTTCGCAGCCACCATTGCATACGCTAGTTATACTCCTTTCAGTAACGTTCGTATTTCCGCTTAGATTATTTTAGTTCCAATTTGTTATATATTTTGTTACACATTTTATTTGCTTCATTGCTTGACTCAACGCAGAGGGCATGAACGAAGACGGTTCTTTCATTGGTCAATATGGCCGTCATCGTAAGCAGGAACCAAATTCACAGGCATTTGCCACTCTAGTTTAAGGTAAGTTCAACACAGACATGGTTTTTTTTTTTTTTTAACACTTTGATCGCTGCATCTAAGTTTTGAAGCAGAATAAGGTTTTGATCCCATTCGGAAGTTAACACATCATTTAACATTTTTTTTCTTTATTAAACTGCATGCAACATCCATCGATATTTATAAAATCGATAGATACACATAATATTTTTATATATCTTTCGTATTGATCATTAAATTTGGTGCAAGTTTTTGAAATCCGCTGCTTGTTGTAGGACGCTTCACGGAAGACGGATCTTTCATAGGACAATACGGACCTAAAGGTAGACCAGAAGAGACACCATCCATCCCGACTGGTACTATGGCCACGTACGTGTAACATCTGCAACTCTTAATCAAAGCCGCATAAAACAAAAACAAAAAAAAACGTTTTCTCGTTCGTTATGGTTAAGGATCTCGCAATCTTTGGCCATTGCAGCAGCTCTGCTATGCACCTTGCGCTGGGCGCAACGTCCAACACTATACTGCCAATTAGACTCTGGTTTTGGGTTTTATAGTTTCTATAGAAACCACTGTCTTTCATATTCGTGCGAGAATTAGCATTTTTGGTATACAAGTAATTCTTTTGGATATTAGTTTTTTTATTTGAGTTTTTTTACATACTACAAACGTTCCTGATTTTTAGTTTTTTTTTTTTTAAACATGTAATGGAACGATTTTGTTACGATTTTTATTATTGTTCGTTTATTTCATTATCGCGAGAGCTGACGCGTCAAGCATATCTCTATTTTAATTATAAAACCCAAGAACTATAGGTGTTTCATAGCGTGCAAGCTATTTATGGAAATAGTACCGTAGGAATTATTCTAGCATTGACCGTAATGTTTGACAGAGCCAGGTTGAGTTAGACACTTTGATTGGCGACAAGGTATACGAAATTGCATTCGTGTTGTTTTAAGCTGAAAATATGAGATACTTTTAAGACTGCATGTATGTTTCACGATATATGACGCGCGTTAATTTCGAAATCTATTGATGTCTTTCGACGGCATCAAATACTGCTATGATTGAAAAAAATTTCGAAATTGGTCAGTTTGAAAGTAAACTTTATTACAAGTACTGAATTATCCTCAAAGCTTCGTTTCTTTATGCATTGCTTATTGCAATAATCCTGCGATTAAAACTTTGGTTCGATTAAATGTTCGGATGACTCTTAAAACACCTGAATTTTGTGTTAATAAGAGGAGATGCTAACATAACGTTTCACAATAATCAAAGGAGAATATTTTTTGACATAGTTGAGTCATTAAATAAATATGGAAGGAAATTATTTTTAAGAGGATTAAGTACTTCCATAGATTTATTTTTAACAGGACTAACTTCCGGAATTCTTTTATCACGGCAGCATGTTATATTAAGATGCATTCACAAAGTGTTAAATTGTAGTGCCTATATTGGATTTAAAAATACGTACGATAACAATATAGAAATAATTTTCTAATGCGTAAAAGTGATTCATGCTTTGAATGGAACGTATTCATATTAGTAGAGATCTTCGTGATGATTGTTTGCAGTGCTTTCGTTTGCAAAAAAAAAAGGAAACATTTATTAGTGCAACGGAGACAGAGATTCCGTTATTTAACTTTTTACTGTTTTAATGTATAAATATAGAGTTGCCATTATTTGTATTAAAAGTAGCGAGTTATGGAATTTTGTAACGAGTATATATCGAAATTAACGTAATATATTCCTAATTTGGAATGAGAACGCACAATGAATGTATTAGCGGCACTATTTACGAGTGACACGGTCAGTTTACATGCAATCTTGAAGAGAAAAAAACAATGATAGAATCAATGCAAAAGACAGTGTCGCAATCTGGCTTCGACTGATTTTAAACTTTAATCTTCTAAACTGGACGGTTGTTCTAAGAATCTTTAGCTGCGATCAATTTTTACTCTGTCGAGGAAGGGCCAAATTTAAACAAACGAATAATAATCTACAATTTATCATGCACTTTACACTTTCATTATTAACGAACACATTATACACAGAACACACACGTGGGGTGCGTAATAGGAAATACGCGATGGATAGTAACGAATAAAGTAATATTAAAAGAAGATTGTATATGCACTATAGTAGATAAAAGAATCGCAAGGCCTCTAAGTAATTGTTGCTTTTGTGTGTGAAACATGCTTCGACGAAATCTTTCTTTTTTTTTTATTTTGATGAAAGTTTATTCTGCTTTTGGTTAATTTTTATTACAATCCAGTAATTATAAGGTAATGCATACATTATTATTTAATATTTAAAGATATTGAATATACAAATATAAATATATATTTAGAAAGAGATGAAAAGAGAGAGAGAGAGAGAGAGAGTGAGAGAGAGAGAGAGACATTATATATGTATATTAATTACGAATTATTATGAGTAATTCTTAAAAAAAAAAAAGGAAAAAGAGAACGCGACGATCACAGCAGGGCAACTATAATTATTACTTAGTGTACAAGATGTTAAAATTTGTTTAGACCTTTAAGTACAATTTGTACAATTTGTTTGATATAAAACGTTAAGTTAACGTAGTCAATACGATGTACAGGTTGTCTGCAAAAGTGTCGCAAGCAAATATGTCAGGTACAAAGATAAAGAGAAACAAAGAATAGGTACAAAGTGTATAATATTTATGATACGTATGCGCGAAGAATCACGAAGTATAGTACTTTTAAATGACGATATATCTCATTCTTACCGGACGAACACAGGACTTAGCCCCGAGTTCTCCTTGTTCACGACGAATTCTCGTAAAGTCCTTAAACACAACCGGGTGCGGAAGTATCTTCTAATGTGATCGAAAAAAAAAAAAAAAATATATTTGTTAGGGTCTTTTTTGCCGAACATCCTGTACAAGTGACTTGGACGTCACACGAAAAAGAAAAAAAAAAAAAGCTTTCTTTCCGCCTCACCGACGCAATGTAATCGAGGAAACGAACGTTTTATTATTGTACGTCCGTTGTTACATTAGGAAAGGGTCGACTAGACAAATCTGTATGCGGTTGTGACGATGCTAAAGACTGCGACAAACGGAAACACTTCGACATCCAACACACACGCACGCACGCACATACACACACATGGTTTACAGATTCGCGTTACACATCCACACGGAGCGATGTAACGATTTGCGAGACAATCTAATATCGCTGGATACTACGAACAGTGCAATCCCGAGACAAAGATTACATATCGCGATACATGCTTTCGCTAGACATAAGGAGCGCATTCTTGCATTAATATCTCGACCGCGACGGCAATAACTCTTGGAGGGGAGAGGGGAAACGTTTTGCCACTGGAATCTCTCGATGTCCAAGTCACACACACACACACACACACACGCAAACACACACTCACATACATGCCACAAACGCGTTTACATTTTTAGAGTATTTTTCTATTGTGCTAGCCTCAGTATATATTTACCGAGATATAGCCGAGATTCATTCGTTCTGCACGTTAAGCTATCAGTTTAGACGCGTTGATCTATTATATATGTTACATAGAGATATATATATATATATTATATATATAAAAACTTCCAATACTTTCGCACGAGCAGCTCGTCGTTGCAATATCCTTTTGTATTTCTTTTATTTCATTTTTTATAGTTTTATACTTTGTATAAAAAAAAAAAGAAGGAAAATGTCATTTGCGTTCTTCTTACGCGATCGTATTCTGTATTAGATGCGTGCTTTGCGGCAACCGTCGATCTGTCGACTGAGCTTTTGAAATATTTCCGTCGCTTCGACGGACGGCGAGAATATCTACTACTATTCTGCTTGATATTAGATTGCATTGACGAAGGGAGGGAAATGAGAGAGATGATTCGCGACTTACTATCGTAGAGAGAGAGAGAGTGTTCATTGTACAACGAGCACACGTGTGTCAACTCCCGGAAGTGTTTCGAGTCCCGGCTCTTTTTATAGCGAATTTCTCGAATCTCAATTACGTCTTAATAGCACCAAGTGTTCATTCGATTGCTTCAATCGATCGTGAGAAGTGATATTGGCGAGGCTTTGGCGAGGCTTTGGCGAGGCTTTGGCGAGGATTGATGTCAGCTTGCTCGTTGCTTCCCAATTTTCACGTTCGCCGATCGATTCACTTTTAAAGATACTTACGATCGGAGCCTGCTATAAAAAGAATTAACGCGGAGACGACGAATCTCAATAATGGAATCTCGTTCAACGTGTGCTCGCTTACACCGTGCGAATCTTTCATTGTATATTATCCCGATATATTACTGGCGTGCCGATGTTTTTTCGTATTGACAGCTGTGCAACCACGCACTCGTACCGTTCTCGCGCGCGCGCGTCGGCGTTTTTAGATAATTTTTCTACGAAATAAAATGAACCGCGGAATCTAGAAATATACAGAAGCGATAACACACCAGGGTGCTCCATCCACTGCTGACGCTATGAGCAAACGACGTCAAAGTATTAGGGATCATTTGTGTACAAGTTGCGCAATACAAACAGGCATCGTGTGGCCTAATTGTCACCGCAAACATTTTTCGTTCATTAGCATACACACGCGTACGAGTGGGCTATCGAGCGGCCACTCCGTCAGCTCCTCTCAGCTCCGCGCCAAGCAGCGAAACCGAATCACTATGTTGTATAATAATTAAGCGAACAATTATGTCCTAATCTTTAAGTTATTCGTTCACGAACGCGATCGCAGTGATGCGCATCCCGAGGTTTGCCCGCATAACTCCCATGTCAATAAAGTAAAAAGAAAAAAAAAAAAGAGAATAAACAAGGGAAATTCACAAAGGAAACGACAGTTCACTCCATCATTATACGTACGGTATTAATTTCGTTTTATTTTTTATTAAATCGCGAGTTTGGTTTTTTTTACGATTTTTCACTTTCAGCGGTCGCTTTAAGCTTTACTTTTACTCAGCGCCAAAAAAATTACAATTATTATTAAGTATAATTAGATATAACATTAAACATGTAATGATTTTAATTTTGTATATTGATTCTCTAAGTATTATATAGGTATTGCATAGTTTTTCGAGTTCTTAAAAAAAAAAATACAAAAGTTTCAGATGTATATTTTATATTTTTTTTTATTTCATCTGTGTAAAAAATTTTCGCAGGTACCGCAGGACTCTGAAAGTAAGGACAATGTAATTGTTTTGAAGCGTAGAAGCTCGCCGAGATCCACTAACTGCACACAGAAGTCAGAGCAGGATGTGTCCGATAATGTGATTATGCCAGACAGGTTTTTTTGCTGTCTGTGCTCTCGATCTTCTGCGAGATACTCCCGGGTTCCTTCTTCCTCTCCCTCACCGCGGTTTGTGCTACAGAGACGAATAAAGGATCGAAGGAGAAAAGGCGTAATCGGGGCCGTCTGCAGAAATATAACTGCGATCTGCGAGCGCATGCATTGAATGGTAACGCTTCAATCACTCAAAAATCTATATTTTAAAATATATTCGTGTAGCGTTTATATTTTAAAATATTTTTAAATTGTTTATATTTAGCAATTTTCGCATAATTGTGTGAGCACAATAACCAAAAGAACATAATCACATAAATCAATAGAAAAATGAAATTTGTAGACAATAGCTACAAATTTGCAGGATTTTAATATTTATATTGTATGTAATTAAATAATTTGTAATTGTTCACATTGCGAATTTGTAATTATCATCTGGAAATTTCGTGATTCTGTTAATTTATGTGAAATTCATCTTTTGGTCTTGTACTCAATTACATGAAAGTTGCTTCAATCTAGGAAAGTAAAATTCAGTTCTATGAAATTATTAATTTTGATATAATTATATTAAAGTTAAAAATGTGTAAGAGTACATTTTGTCTGAAATTTAGAAGTGATTTATTGCAAGATGCTGAAAGATTGTTCAAAGGATCCAGCTGTGAGTGTGCTTAGTGAAGGACGTACCTATCAAAGTTTTGCACGTAATCGGAAATATCCACTGCGAAGGGTCTCCAGCGCGATCGATCGCGACCTACGCGCGTTATATATGTGGTGTGCGAACGGGAAAACGACGGGCTGTAGAGCGTTCGCAGGCAGGCAACGCCGGTTTATTCCCGATCGAATGTTTTTGCACGGCCGCCGCAATCCTAATTGAATTCGCTGTCGGCTGCGCTGGCGGAGTTGCATCGAGAACGATGCGTAGAATCGCGTGCAAATTTATTTCTCATAATTGTCCTACAAAAATAGGCGAGGAATATCAAGATTACTCGACGAAACTCTTTTTTTTTTATTTTACAAAAATGACAAAAATATATGGACCTCCGATCTAACTTAAGACTCCCAATTTAGGAAGTAATAAAAAATGATTAGCATATCTAAATTTTTGCTACAGGTTGTTTTAAATAAGCAACGAAAGCCACATTAAATGTGTATTTTATAAATATTTCTAACAAAAATTAAACGTGAATTATATAAAATACGGTTCTTTAAATTCATTAAAGTACGCAGTTCCATGAAGAAAATAGACTTTCAGAAAAGCAATTATTAGAAGTACAACGACTTGTTTCTTAGAGAAAATGTGGAAATGTAAGAGAGAATTTATAAAAACTTGACGTGTGCGTTTCACAATGTTCTATCAATATATCGCTTTTAGATATTGCAAAACTCGCGACGATTCTGGATGGTTTCAGGAAATCCACGCTTATACTGCGCGTGCTGGAAGAAAAAAAGACAAAGCAAAGAAGAGAAGACGAAAGAAAGATGAAAGCCCGGTCGCGCAGGATAACAATGGACCACTTGTTAGACAGCTCATCCCCCGACACTGAAAATACAACGGATACTATTATCGATTATTTATTGAGACTTCTTATAGCCAGCGATTCAGCTGAAAATAGATCTGATGCGGTTATTTTCGATTATCGATGAATGCGAACCTTATCGTCAATGTCGAGGAACTTCCGCTTCGTCGTACGCATTTCTCAGATACGTATGCAAACGGGTAAATAGTACTCTGCAAACAGCGAGTCCATGATAAATATTGGATGTGATAGTAGAGAGAAACGTAATAGAAATATATAAAAAGTAAACGGCAGATAAAAACGAAGTCTGATATGAAAGATTGATACTTCCATCAAAGAAGTGCCTCTACTCTCAATTATTGTACATTCGATTTTCAACTATCGCTAATGTTTCTTTGATTATTGAGTATTTAAATCTGAATGGATTTCATTATGAATGTTTGCGATATAACTTTGACGGTTTGTAACGAATTGAAGAGAATAATAATACGGATGCGAGATGTAACGAATTTTAGATATACGGAAGTAAATCAGTTGACGAGGTGCGAAAAACGGAAGAGAAGAATAAAGGAATGAGAATGAAGAAAAGTGAAGAGATGTGACAGGAACTGACGATTGCACGAGAAACGTAAAACATTAAATTTTTTTCTTGCTAGATTGCATTCGATTTTGTAGATGCTTTTCTCGAACTCTAAATTGACATTTCATAAAAAGTTGATTAAAAGTAAATATCGATATTTTCAATAAAGTTGTATCTAGTTTTATCTAAAAACTGTGAGATGCTTAAAACTTTTAAACGATAGTGCTCATAGAATACATAAAAAAAGAATAAGTAATTCAGCAATTGCAAAGTAAACCTTGAATTTAAAAAATGAGAAATTCGCAAATCTTCAATAATCTTCTATTTAATTAATAAAAAAGATAAAACTAATGAATCAAATTCAGCTAAATCAGAAGTTGATTTTCAGTCAGTTTACAAAACAATAAAGTGAAAAATAAGGAGAACGTGAACGATATTGTCCGGTGATCGTGTGAAATAGTTTGTTATCTGTTAATAGATAAGTCAATTGATATTTTCAGCGCATTGTGCACGCAGCCTTATTCCACGCGTCGAGCTCGCTCGCTTCGTGCCCCCAAAGGCCCGTCTGCGAGATCTCTATCTCGCTCCGCCAGAGAGGTCTCGCCTCTCAGCTCTCGAGGGACCTCCTTCTCATTGAAGAGTCAGTCAGTCAGTCAGTTCGCCGGAGCGATACGTTACGCGTGCATCGCTGCTATCCACGAGCGAAAGAAGAAGGTATCGTGCGTGCGTGCGTGTTCTCCGTTCTGTTTTACTGATCGAGCGGGGTGGACAACCGCGCGTTGAAATCACCTTCGCGGAGACGCGTGTAATCGCAGCAGCCGTGTATCGTGCAAATCTCCCTTCGATTTCACGCGCGGAATCGCACGGCGTCGAATCGAGCGATAACATCGCGCGGAAGGTTGATCCGCGCGCGGTCAATCCGGCTGTAATCGAGCAGCGAGGAGAAGCGATACATACGCGTTGCACCGGCGCGCGACACCGGCGTGTGTTGTTGTGCAAAACACCTGGCCCAAGTAGCAGCCGACGGTCCTAGTAGCTGCGACGATTGGGCTTCGGGCGCATCGCGCGGCGATCGCAATGCGTTCGACCGCGTTCGCCGTGACCACGGTGACAGCGGCGGTCCTGTTCCTGCTCCTGGAGGTGACGAAGCACGGCCACGGCGCGAAACCCGAGCAAAACGAAAAGCCATTCGGCGATATCAGCTTATGGATCGACCAGCAGCAGATCAAGATGTTAAGCGGTACAGTCCCACCGAGATGAGTGATCTCCCTGCGAATCTCTTCTTCTTTCTCCTTCCTCCCGCCTCCCTCCTTCCAGCGTGATCTCCCGTCCCGTATGTTATTACTTTCTAACGCGATGCCGAGACATCCTTAACATGTAAATCCGTCGCGATTGCGCGACCGCGTCTCCGTCGAGAGATCCATTATTATTCGTAGTCACCGCATGCAACCAATAATGCAATTTAGCGAGCGCAAATTTAGGATTAAAACTCTTTTTTGTTTCCATGACGAATGCGCAGGATTCCCCATGGAAATCTACGCGATTGCGGAAGGCAGAGTGCTCAGTTATCTTTTGGAGCGTGATTTCGAAAGCAAATTGCCGATCATACCGAGTGAGGTGTCACAGGTGAATTTCACGTAAATATGTAAAACACGTACTGATCATTCGCAAGGCTCTATTCGTAGCTTCACACATGTAAGAAATTCATACGATTAAGTGAAAGTTCTCCGATACCGATGAGACTTACAGCTTCATTGATAATCGAAAAATTTCAACATGGAATTTCTTGCAGGTGAATTTCACATGGAAGTCAGGGGCGAAAAGATATTACTATCATTTTTTCGAACTACATTCCTTCGATGAGTCTATTTTGGAGACGCCGCGGATCTCGATAAAAACAAAAGGACGGGTGCCCAACACACCAGAAGGTAAGATATTCACGTGTCATCGGAATGAAATAATTTGTTTGAATTTGAATCGCGTGGATTTTGTGCTGCGCGCGAAAGATCGACGATCGTGCGCGAGCGAAATGCAATATATACCTTTTTTTCTTTTCAGAGTTCAGCGTTGTGCTGCCGTGCGCTGGCAATTCGGGAATCGCGCAATTCGGCATCGGTCTAGTAATCGAGAAGCGTAAGAAAAAACCACTAAATGGGACGCCCCTTCGTTTGCGTCTAAAAAAAGAATGCACCGTGCGCGGTGAGTTCGTCAGAGCCCACGATCACCACCTCTTCACTCGCACATACAGTTCTGTATCAGCAGTAATTCATTTGCTAATTGCCTAATTTGCTGCATGCTTTTGATAAACGCGGGGAGACGCAGTCGGTGGGGGGTGGGGGAGGGGGGGAAGGATCTTTCGCTACGAAGAAGACGCGCGGCGCGTCTCGGGACGCGCAAAATCCGGTTCGCACACGTCCGTGTCGCTCGCGCGCATTCGACTGCCTCTCCTCTTTTTTATTTAATCGACAGCCGTGGCATGTACACCCGCCGTGAGCGCTCGTTTCGATACTTTGTAAGAAAAGATTACCCTACCTTTTAACCACCCTATATCTGCCCTGTCTACCTGCGCCCGGAGCGATGGGTCCCATTATCGCGCGAAAAGGGCACGTCGAGTCTCTCTGTTTCGCATTTGTCCGGAGATTTACCAGTGCGTCTGAAGGCCTTGTTTTCAATCTCGAGCGTTTTCACAAAGTCCTATTTCCACATAAATACCGTGTCGAAAAGCAAGGCAAATCGTGTTTACACTTCACATTCTTTTTCTCACGCCTTTCGTGAGCGTTATTTTCCTTGCATTGTCCTCCCGAGGACAAAATATGTCGATATGTCACGCTGTCCTTCTTAACTTAAACAAATTATTTGAAGAAACGGGAATGGCATATAAAAAAAAAACCTTTCACAACTATTTCGTACCCTTGAAATTGACGGGCACGACGGATCCATCGCTCGCAGAAGATAGAGACGTGGACCGCTTTTGTGAAGCTTACCTTTTGTAGAAACGAAAAGGCATGAGCCAGCCTCGTTTAGACTAGATTCTATTTTAACGCTATCCTAGAACACATTACAGCTGTCCGCTCGCAATTGATTTATCGATACGCTGATCGCAGTATTAAAATGTATTTGAATAGTGCAAGTGTCGCAAGGGATTGTTACTCTCAGGATCGCGCGCTTGAAAAGAACGAACCGTCGTGCGTAACGTTCGGAGAAATCTCGCTTTGGCTTGCGTTTGTTTTTACTTTGAAACGTCACGTCGGTTCGGCGATTTTTCGTTTTATGCGCTTGTTGTATCTTTCTCGGATTTGGCATCTGTTCCTGTGGTCCTGCCTGGTTCACTTTGTTGAGCGTTAGTCGATTCCCCGCTTCCTCTCGAGTCATTGTTCGCTCACGAATTACGAATTAAGTGCCTAATTGCCTACTTAATGCGCAAGAACGCACGCGTCTGCTCCGCCTATTCGGCACTTTATCCCTCAGCTCTCAATTTCTGTCCATTACGAGTTGTCGATCATCGGATATGTTTATTCGCTACTGAGTACCCCGCGATGTTGAAAGACTGAACGAATTAAACTCGGCGTGTGCGATCGAAAGCGATCGGTTGAGTCTACCCGCGCGAATGTCGCGAGAACGAGAAAGGACCGGCGAAAATAACGTATCCACGTACGTAACGCTCGGTGTTTCGATCTACTCGAGTTCAGATGGGCGTAGCGGAATACGACGCTCTCGAGCGTTTCGTGTAATCGCTTTCGCGATAATACGCACCACGATAATTCGTAGCGCAGCGAATCGAATGTGCAAACGCGATATAATTATATTTCGCGTTCAGCATAATTGAAAAGAATTTCGTCTAAGAGGTCGCACATTGCCACGGAAATGAGATAAAGTGTACATGTGTGTACAAATTGTTTTAATCTTGCAAGTTATAAACAATTATCGAACAAGTATTATATCAGAGTTGTGTATATTGTTTTTTTTTAGAAGAATATCAATGCTCGTTATATATTTTTTATCGAATTTGATTGTAGCAATTTATTTTTCGAATATTTAAAAATATGTGTGATCTCTCAATTCCGTGGCCTTTTGTCGTTTTAGTTTCCGGAGAGAAATTCGATGAAATCTACATGATGAGATTGCGCGTGCATGCATTAGAACGATATTATCTTATCAGATTAAGTACGAGATCGCGGCTTCGTGCCTGTTATCGAAATATTCTTTGTTTTTAATCGTGTATGAAGATAATTGTTGATCACGCGTGTGTATGTATTAGCTAAATGTTGCGGCTATATATCTTTTTTTTGGTTTTGCTTTGTTTTTTAACTTGGATTTTATTTTTACAGAGCCTAATCCCGTTTCTTGCCCAGATGGCTATCTAGGGCCACCTGAATGCAACAAAGCGCTATGCTATCCAAATTGTATGAACAACGGTAATTGCACGGCGCCAGGTGTGTGCTCGTGCCCGCCAGGATATCAAGGACCTTATTGCGAAGGAGGTATAACAAATTTCCAAATTTCTTCATCAGCTTTGTCCGCTTAGCCACAAATTACGCCGAAAATATTTCTTCAATATTCAATACATTCGTAAAATAAAAATTCTTTAAAAGTATAGAAATCAATCACACATTCGTAAAAAAAAAAAATAACCAAGAAATATGTGATAAACTTGAAATATATTATTAAACTCTGATTAGCTACAGCTGCAAGTAAAAAACAGAACTGATAATAATTTATTACATAAATTACAATATTTACACACTACTCGTTCCCTTTTAACGGAAGATAACAACGCATATGTTCGCATTTATATCACCTTGGAGATAGTTATAGCTGTTTTACAGCCGAATTTGATCACGTTCGTTAGCGCTTGATAGAACGGCGCTTGCTCGGCGCCGTGATCTATGCCCGTGTCGTGGTGCTCCTGCTCCTCGTCGCGGAACTCCTTGATCGTCTGGAGTATCTCTTCACTCACGGTCTCCTGGCTTTCCATCAATGTGCGCAGCTGTTCGTTGTAATGATCGACGATCACTGTTTCCACGGCCACGGTGCACGCCATGGCCGCTTTCTCGCCCATGAGGGCAGTGCCTGCGCCCAGGGCGAAACCGGCCATGTTCCACAGAGGGGTGAGAACGGTCGGTCTGACCCGGTATTTGCGAATCAACTCCTCGAATTTGGCGCGGTGCCGCTTCTCCTGATCCCACATGTGTTGTATGGTCGGTCCGACCGACGTGTTGCCTGCGCATTCGCGTAGAATCGTCACGTTAAACGGCATTTCACGATTTCGAAGATGTTAATCTCGCAATTTTGTATGACTATACCTAGCACAGCCATCTGTCCGGCGTATATTCTGTCGGCCCCCAGTTCGCCGGCATGGTCGACTCTTATCACTGAATCCAGTACTTTCCTAGATGCACTTGTAGCCGCCGACGTGCTGGCTAGCCGCACTCCCAGCTCTCTGATATGCAGCATTGTTCTGCGACATTTGAGAAAAGTTATAAGACGCAGTCGAATAATTTCAGGTATCTGTGCGGAGAAATGTATGAACGGTGGGAAATGTATACAGAAGGACGTCTGCCTGTGTCCAAAGGGTTATTTCGGCTTTCACTGCGAATTCTGTGAGTACAAGCGATATGTTTTATACACTGCAACGCATATATAAGATTTAACAGTTGAAAACACCCAGACTTCTGCCATATTTTTCAGCCAAATGTGTCATTCCTTGTTTGAACGGAGGCAAGTGCAGAGGAAACAACATTTGCAAGTGTCCAGTGGGATTTAAAGGTAACCATTGCGAGATTGGCAGACGTTCGCAGCATCGATCAACGTGCACAAGAGGGTGCAGGAACGGAATCTGTCAATCAGACAACACGTGTATCTGTAATCGCGGATGGTTCGGAAAATTATGTAACAAAAACAAGCCTTGGGCTTAAAGAGACCGATGGAATACTTCCACTGTTGTTTTTCACGCACTGACTGAATCATTGAATGATTCCTTAAAACGATATTCTAAATTGTCAGGCAGAAACCGCACTATGATTATAACGTATCTATCTTGGAATGTATGAAGAAATGAAGATCTATGCGCTAATAGAGAAAGAGTCACCATGCCAAAAGATTTTTAGAATTCCGTTTGATTTAGTACAACGATGAAGCGACAAACATGGAAAAAAATTCATATATAATTTGTATCCCAAGAAATATCAATTGGTCAAATCAAGGTAATATAAAATTCATAGTTTCTAATTCAATCCGCCCCAGATGTGATATGTAAAGTTGCTTTACGCCATTTTATAATAACATTATTGTATTTAGTTATTAATACTTTTGTATTGTAGATGTAACGACTGTAAAAACCAGATAGGAACAAAATGTATTTTCTAACAGAAAGCATGATTACGAAATAATTCAGCATTATAGTAATGTACCTGTGATGGACTTTTCTGCTCTTACACTATTTTTTTCTATGTATATCTTAGAATATAGGTGAGAATAAATCTGATTTTACAACAAATGAAAAATATGAATTACTATTAGAACAATTTGTACTTATAAACTGTTTTAAATTTGTATTGCTTATATAGACAAAGATACAATTCAAAAAATAGCATACATAAAATTACATATAAATGTTTTTCACGCTTGTGTGTTAAAGAATTATGTAGCGACAACAATGTAGCAAATTTTTACACAAATTCCGAGTGAGAATTTCGAACCGAGAACTTTATGTTACGTTATACACGACAATAATAATGTAATAACATTGTAATAAAAGGATAACTGGCATGACACTGTGAGATGCGAGCGATTTTTCAAGCACAAGCATAAGCACAAGATTGACAGAATTGTAGGATGAAATATAGTGGAAAATAATGAAAATAATTGAATGATGAATTGGACATCGTGGACACTCACCAAGCATCAAAACAATGACGAACGCTCAGCTTCACCCAGGCGAATAGGTTATGCGTCCGACATTTACGTTCGGTCGCGCCACGAACGGACAGTCACGTGTCCCGGCGACCAATGGCGGCCGCCGTATGCCGTCCGCCATGACCATATTCCTCAGCGGTTCCCGCCAATCGCGCTATTCCAGGCTTGTATATATGTATATGGCGTTGGCGTTCTCCCGCATCGCTGCTCTCATTTCTTGGATTTCTACGGGAAAACGGTGAGTGCTGGCGCGGTAGATACGCGAACTTGGCGCATAAGTGTTCGCCGGTCGGCGACGACCGTGCGCGGCGTCCAGCACGTCCGCGAAATCCTTGCAATTTCGCATCGTCTGCTCGATCGGGCGTGCATCGCGCAGGCTCACTCAAGATGGCCGGTCGGCGGTCGCGTTTGTTGTGGTGGTGATGGAGGCTTGCTCGGTACCGATCGATACGCCCGCCGCCGCGTACCACCGGCCATGGCGGCTACCGTTGTGGCGCGTCACGCATCCTAGAGATAGACGCGTCGTGCGAGTGTGTCGCGTACGCCGCCGCTGGACCGGCGCCCAGTGATGATAAGCGCGAGCGCGACCACGAGTGCGGGGCGTGGTGCGAGAGCGTAGCCGTGGCGGCTGCCTCCCCGCGGGGACGCCAAGAGCCCCTTGAGCCCTCACTGATCCACTACGCGGGACACGCTGAGGTGCGTACGCAACTCGCAATTTTCACTGGGCCTGCTCCATCGGCTTCGCGTTACCGAGCAGTCGTCGTGAGCAGCTCCGCGGCTACCCGGAGGTGGTGTCTCTTTTGCGTGTGCCCTGCGCATTTTCATTGCCCCCCCAAAGTATCGGCCCGAATAAACGCGCATATCCCCCGTCTCCCTCTCTGACTCGATGCTCCGTTTTCGTTCTCTTTCTCACTCTCTCTTTGCTTCTCTTACGCGCGCGTTCTTTATCACGCGTTGTCTTGTCGCTTGTCCATCAGTTTGTCAACTTTGCGTGCGAGATGTTGCGAAAAAGAACGTGAGACGCGAGACGTGATCATCATCGCCGACGCCTCTGTCGTCGCCGCCGTCGCCGCCACCGCCGTCGTCGTCGTCGTCGTCGTCGTCGTCGTCGTCATCATTATTGTTGCCGCGCTATTATTGTTGCTGTGTGATCAGTTATGTTTGCGATGATATGTCGTGCTGCTGGAATCGTGTTCTCGGTCGCGTGCCCGATAACTGCGTGGGCTGTCCGCGGATATACACGCGCCAGCCCGACCATCGGAAGGACGCGTGTACGCTGCGAAGGTTTCCCGCGCGGAAGGCGCTCCGCCGTCCGCAGGCACAAGCCACCGTTCGCTCGTCAGTTATGCGAAATGTACATACTTGGATTTGCCTCCCGTGTTCTTCTCCGCAGCCGAGACACGTGCTTTTGTTTTGCTCCCTGACCGCGCAAACACGCAATGATTTCGCGTAACGCAAGCCGTAAACATCATGCACAATATATTTATATGATTTTTCAATCGATCCAATATCTTCTCTTCTACATTTTTCTTCATTTTTTCTATAATGATTAGTGTAACAATTGTTGCGATGCTATGTAAGTATATTTAATTTTGTGCTTCTCACAAGGCTGTAAATTGGCAAGCGTTGTCTTAAAAAGGTGAAAGCTAATCATTTATCGCTTCTTGTAATTTTTTTGAATAATTAAAAATGACAAATACATGTTATCTACATGCGATAATAATTTCTTGTTTTTTTTTTCACATATTTCTTGATATTTTATTGTACAAATGATATTTTTTGTTATATCAGGCTAAGGTGATGTAGAAGAAATTGTAACTGCAAAATCGACATCCGACTTTCTAAAGGATAATTGTTCGAGGCTTTGCTATACAACACAAGATATCAAGACGGGTGACCAGATAAAGAAGATGGTATCTCTGCCTAACGCAGAGTCTGGCACAATGGACAGAATCTCAGATGATGACGAAGATGAACCTAGTAGCGGATCCGAGACCTACGAGGAAGGAGATCTCCTTTCGGCTGCTATGGATGATGATGTAACAGCTCAACTTGCAGCTGCAGGTGGGCAAAAAACACAAACACAGTGATTTCCCATTTTTTGCTTTCCCCTCCCCCTCCCCATTCTATTCCTAATCATCTTTTTCTTTGCAATGTAAAAACGCAATGCGCAGGATGCATCCTTGCTCCCCAGGTCTTGTTTAGCCTCATGGATAAATTTTTACAAGAATTTTCATAAAAAGAATTGATGCTTCTGTTGCTTACAAATAACTGTAATCTATCCAAGAATGCCTTTGTATATGTATTACATAAGTATCAAGTAAAACTTATTCCTTTTCTAATGAAAGCATATTTCATAGTTTGCAAAACTTGTATATTTATTTGATTGAAAATAGAGTCTTATGGATTCATTTCTATATATTTAATGCAGAAATATTCTAGATATATATGTATATTTGGCACATTCCAAAATTAATATTTTTCGAGAAAAAATTTACGCAATTTGTACAAACATTATATTTTTCATTAATTCGTATTTCCTTCCATTCATTTATATTTTCCTCTTTTCATTAATTTATATTTCTTCCCATTTTTTTATATTTTGCTTTTTTTATTCATATTTATTTTCAATTTGTATGGGATAAGCCTATGTTGTATAAGATTATTTTTTAATTAATGGTGTATGTATTTTTTGTATAATAGCATCTCTGTTTGCTTTGTGTTATCATTGCTGGATTGTGTTCATAGCTAACAGTTGAGACAAGCTTACAGTCACATATATTGCAATTTCACAAGTCATAAAATAAAATTATGACTTTAAATTATTCTTAAAATAAAACAGAGTTATTTACTGTACAATGAAAAAATTAGGATTTCTGATTTTTTTCCTTTGAAAAACGACTATTGCGAATTTGTTTCTCGAAATCTTTTACAAACATTTGTATTATAGAATTATGAAATTAAAAATGATTTGAATTCAACTCAATCGAGAAATGCGGCGATTGTAAATTATTTTTTTATCTCAAATCTTAACTATGCATGCAATCTAATACTTGATCTATTTTTCTGATATTTTATCTCTTTTTTTATATGTGTCACATTTTATAATTGCGTGTTAATTCAGTATAAGTAAAAAGTCATATTATTAATATTTAATTGTCTAATAATTTATAATGCAAAATTTCTTGTATGGTTTTGGTTTTCAACCATGTTTCTATTTCATCGCTGCTTATGCATCTTTGAATGTGTTAGAAGTATATTCACATTCTTGATATGCCGATGTAATTCGTCCAATTAAATTTTTTTGTTTGAAAAAAAAAACGTATATCTCATAGCCGGTAAGTTGAAGATACTTTTCAACTTTTTGCCCTTGATTTATTGGCATATCGAGAATAGATGCTGCGGTTAAACATTTTTTTCATATTAAAAAATTTTTTAGGTCCAGTTGGCGTTGCTGCGGCTGCTGCTATTGTCTCAGCTAAAAAGCGCAAACGACCTCACAGCTTTGAAACGAATCCTAGTATCAGAAAGAGACAGCAAAACAGACTTTTAAGAAAACTTAGAGTAAGTGAAATGCACAACAAGCTTGTAAGAACTTTTATAGTAAGTGGAATGCTATTTTTTTTTTTTTTTTTTTATTATTATTATTATTTTTATTACTGGGTGCATTTTATGCGTATATAATCTTATAATATATCGATAATATATGTTCTGGAACTTTACAATAATATTGTTACACATTGAACTTGCAGCAAACCATCGACGAGTTTGCGACGCGGGTTGGACAGCAGGCAGTCGTATTAGTTGCCACACCTGGTAAACCAAATAGCAGTTACAAAGTCTTCGGCGCGAAGCCGCTGGAGGATGTAGTTAAAAATCTGAAATCCGTCATCATGGAAGAGCTGGAGAGTGCGCTTGCACAACAAGCGCCACCGCCCGTGCAGGACGATCCATCGTTATACGAATTACCGCCGTTGATAATCGACGGTATACCGACGCCGGTGGAGAAAATGACGCAGGCACAACTCAGGGCGTTTATTCCGCTCATGCTGAAGTACTCCACTGGGCGGGGCAAACCTGGTTGGGGAAGAGACAGCACGCGACCTCCTTGGTGGCCCAAGGAATTGCCTTGGGCTAACGTTCGAATGGACGCGCGGTCCGAAGATGAAAAGCAGAAGGTATGTAAAAAAAACTGATTCCAATCTTTGCCGTACCATGTCGCTCTAACTCGATGCTAAGGTACCTTTAACTAAATTTATTTTGTCGGGTTGATCAAAAAGTTTTCTCTCTCTTCCGCCTTTTATTTTTATCGAATATTTCATCCTTCATCAAAAGAAGATTCAGTGAATTCTCTAATTTAAAAAATTAAAGTTCCTTAAATCTGTTTTGAGAAGTAAATTTGTTATATTTCTTGTTACGTCATATATAGATAGATTTCTCCGTGGAACAATCTACCAAAGAACTCTGCGATGGAAGTTGGGCGATTCTAAAACATCGTGCTTCAATTAATTTCAGATCTCGTGGACTCACGCGCTACGGCAAATTGTAATAAATTGTTATAAATTCCACGGAAGGGAAGATCTTCTGCCGGCGTTTAGCGAAGAAGATGATAAATCTAACGTCCTGATACAACAATCGACGTCTCATTCCTCGTCGCATCAGTCGCACTCGTCGAGTCAAGGGCAGAGCGGGGGGCAGTCGCAACAGCAACAGACGGTGGGAGTCGTGCGCCTCAACAGCACGGATTCATCTAAGGGAAACTCTTCGCCAGCACAAATCATTGCCGCGTCTCCCACAGCTCTTGCCACTGCCACTCAGGTGGGAGTGGATAGAGTCTATTATCAAGTAGTGAAATCCGAATCAAAATATATATTTTTTTAAGAGTGGAGAAAGATTGCATGGGGGTCCATTTTGTGATTGATTTTAGACTATTGGAATACTAAAGAATTTGTTTACATCTTCCTTCTCGTCACGGATCTCAAATCTCCCAAAATCTGATTTTATTACGTTGTTCCTATACGGAATGGATCAGGACAATCTGAAGCGTGCATGAAAAGGGTCGCGTTTCTGTTGATGTTTGGTTTCCCTTATTTGAGTTGGTTTTCCTTTCTCTGTTATTACACTTGTTAGATCTTACGGTTAAATAAAAGTCGCTGAAATGTGTTAAAGCATATTTTGGAATATCAGGAGAGATTTATTTTCAATTTTCAATTTTATTAAACTGTTGGAATTGTGTTAATAGTATGTGTTAATAGTATGGTGGATTTCGCAACATTCTTTAATTCAGAGTTTATTTCAAAATTCTAAATTTCTAAAAATCGAGATAGCGTTACTGCTCAAAGCTACTCAGAGTAGATTAGAATGTAACTTTTATAATCTTATTTTTCCCGAATCTGTCGACACTTTACAAGAGTTTTGGAATACAGCTGTAACGCTGAATTCTTTATCTAATTTACAATTTAATTTTCGCAGATGACAGCCCAGTACCCGACGACTGTATTGCAGACAATAACCAATCCCGACGGTACAGTTTCTATCATACAAGTGGATCCCAACACTCCAATTATTACGTTACCAGATGGCACAACAGCCCAAGTACAAGGAGTCGCTACTGTAAGTTTTCTGCAGAAATATTTAGAGCTTAAGATCTTAAAGTTGTTTAAAAGTTTTGGAAATTCAATAAATCAGCACAGATGTACTAATCGTGCGCTGTTGGAAGAGTATTCGGCGAACACGCATCAACAATTTAGATGCGAATAGCGCAACATTTTAATTTCTTGATTTTATCTTCAATTAAAAAAAATACAGATCAATATTCACAATGAAATGGATGAAACTAATATATTTTTCACAGTTTCGCTTTCCTATTTTAATGCATCTTTTTCTACTTCATTGTACTTGTTTGTACAAAAACCACCTACGATTGTATGCTTTTTGCGATTGCGTTTAGATCCACACAAATCAAGGAGAAGTGCAAGCACTTGCGGAAGTAGCCAGTAGCACGGATGGTGCTAGTGTGGCTGTTGACCTGAACAGCGTTACGGAAGCCACGCTAGGTCAAGACGGCCAGATCATTCTTACCGGAGAAGACGGACACGGTAAAACAGTTTTCTATAGGCTCTGCACCGTCGCCGGCCAGGAGCTACTCGAGCAGTGAACTTGTTTTGATTGGCCCAGGACTTTTTTTGGTTAATTTGCATCAAGGATGAATGCCGGTATAATTTCGTCAAGTTTGAATCTTGCATGCGATTAATAATTCCCTATGCTTATTCGCAAAACGCGGCGGTTATCCTCTCACACGTAAACGCGGCGTGTCGTAAGTTATGAACTTACTGAAATTATACCGATTTCAATCCTCGATTTGCATGCCATTTTGCTATGCTCCAATCGGAAATAATGTCTACATGTTATACGCTACTTTGTATTGTACAAAGTAGGATCTGGACTAGTTTACGTATTTGCCTCGTATTGTACATATATATAACATTTTATATATAAATGGAGCTATGCACAGCTTTATTTGAAAGAATGTTCTTTAAGAATCCATGGTTCACTCACATGTGACCTACGCGCACATGACAAAGAGATATTTAAAAGTATAATAATCGTATATTAATCTCTTGTAATAATTCAGATGTATTTGCACTTCGACATACTTTTTATAACGAAGCTGAGAGTTGCAGCTTGTAGCCGATTTTCGTAATTAGATGCTCACTGCCTTCCCCCCGCCATTCGCGCGGTCTTAGTGGCGAGTTACGAGCACGTAACAAAAGTATCTTTTTTTTTTTAAATAATTTTTACTTTGTTACTAATTTAAATTACTTGGTAATAATTTAAATCAGATTCTCTTTTTACTTTTTATATATATAGTTACATGAATATATTATAAGATGTATAAAATATATTATTTATAATATTTTAATGCATTTAATGATAATATAATATAATATAATATACAAATATACAAATTACATATTAAAACAATATAGCTTTTTTAGCCCAGAACTGGGTGTTGGTTGTTCAGTAAAGAAAAGTTTATTTATTTATTCATTTGAATTCAAATGAATTAACTAATTGTTAACTTTTCTTTACTGAACAACCAACACCCAGTTCTGGGCTAAAAAAGCTATATTGTTTTAATATGTAATTTGTGTATTAAAAAAGCCCAAATAGACAATTTTTAAAATTTTAATAATATAATATATTATATTATTGTTTATATGTATATAATTATATTTATGTTATTATATCAATTATAATGTGCATTGGCGTGATTTTGTGTTTATTGAAAATCGCCAGCTTTCTGAATAGTCCAATGTAAAACATAATATATTATAATGTTTTACATTAAATATATCTATAATGTTTTGTTGAAAAGATTTTCTGCATCTTTGACCGCATCATTTGAATTATGACTATTTCTGAAGCAACGTACGACTTGGTTGAGTATCTGGTGACCTCGTTGCTGAGACGCCAACGACAAGGGGAAGGTAGAGAGCGTTTACTTAAAAAAGTCGGTCGAAAAGTGCAATTAAATTCCAGCTCTGCTGTATAAATACAAACGTGTTTGTTGTTTATGGGCTACATAATATTTCACTTCAGCGAGCAAAATGTTTTCGACAGTTTCAAGATAAGAGATAGCATTTATTTATATTTAATACACGTAATAAATGTTATTTATATGTAATATGTTATATGTAGATACGATCCGACATAAACTGCCACATGCATCTGACTTGTATTTATACACAAAGCAGATCACTCTCGATCATTAGTTGAAATGAAAGTACGAGTATTCGCTTGCAAAAAGGTGCTAGTGAAAATGAAATACGGCAATGCACACGCGTCGTACATGATAGTTCAAAAAAATACCATTGGATTCTTAAAATTTTCAACGTGATAGACGACCGCTAATGATGTGACGATAACAGCAGAAACTGTTCTTCGATCGTTACTTATCATTATTACCGATGATAGGTTTATTGAAAATTTAACTAAATGAAGAGAAATAAACGTGCTGTACATAGAGTATTTTTTGTTGATGTTTCATTATTTTGCATACATTACGTTTTAGCAGTATGTTTAAGCTAGTTGAAGCGCGTAAGGCGTTGGTGCTAGCACCAGCACGCGCGGCTCTTCAATCACACGTAAATTTTAAGTTTGTGCAAACAGCTTAAACACTCGTTGTCCCTCGTAAATGTTTTATTTTTTTTTATTTATTTTTTTTTATTTTTTTTTTA